CATAAGTCAAAACCTTTTGGTCCCTCAAAATGGCATTTGTATTTGAATTTATTGTGGACTGGTGAAGCAATTGTATGATTTGCCAAGCAAATCCCTACCAGTGTTAGTCAATGTTATTTTACTTCTAATTTATGCATTATATTCTATTAAACTATAGCGAATGTCCTACCTATCTTTAAAACTAATCCCGAAATTTATTTATTTAAAATTCAGTGTACAGCTGGTTACATGAATAGAGCCACCAAATCCTAGAGAAATGAATAGTTCAACCTGTATTGGCGTCTATTACACAAAATAATTTGCATAAGTGTGCCCTGGTCTTGATAAACACCTAATAGAAAGTATGCATCGTCCTTATTTTTATTCTATGGGTATTTTGTAGTCATGGGACAAAAAATGAGTTTCATTAAATAATATGATACCTGAAATAATTCAAATAGGAAAACCCTGATATTTTCACTTTCTATAATCACCTAATAGAAAGAGTGTATCGTCCTTCTTCCGAGAGGCCATGTTTTCAGTTCTGTGCAAATCACATTATATTTTTTGTAAGTCGTTGAGCCTATCATCATTAAATCGACATAACACACTTCTGCGATTCAATTTGGACCTGAGCATTAATATGACATTGACATACATAAAAACCCTATTAAATTCAATGCAAGATGAATTAAAAGTGTTGTTTACTTTTTGATAATCTGATACACATTAAAAGTTATTCAGAAAAAATACTTCAGAAATATAAAACTGTCTCTTTCAATTTACCTATGAATAAACATTTTAATTTTTTTTTCAACATTGAATAAGAATAGATAGAATTATATGTTTGCAAAACTGGAATATTTGGGGTAATCTTTTACGTTATTTTCTAATTTTTATTAAAGAGCCTTTAACATCCCAGACTCTTAGTATAATGGTTTAATGTTTTCATCAAAAGGAACGTAATGCTTTTAAATGTTATTAGTCAATGATTTACACAAGCAGACATCTTGACTTCAGTCATTTCACAATCGAACTGACGTGGCTTCCGTTTGTCTTTTCCACAAATATTTTCATGTCTATTGTTCTAATAAGCCCGCCTACTTGGAAGCTCGACTGTATGAATTTAAGCGTTGTACTGGATTGGAGAAAGGTCTCTTCGTTTTAGTGTTAAATGAGCTAGATGCAATCTTAAGTTCTATTCTAATAGATTTTTTTCTTGCCTGTGGATTTTGCTTCATGATTCTTGCCTCACTGCTACCTACAATCTGTAAAAGTTTAAACTTAACACCAATCGCCATCGTCTTCCCGAAACTTGTTCTTTTATTGTCCTTTCTCCTCACTAGAGTTTTATTCTCTTTTACTTGTGTTTTAGTAGTATTATCGCTTTGCTTTTATGAAATGATTAAAATAATGACAATAAAAATATATAATCGATGTTAATGTGTATTTTAGCGGTCTTTAAATTCTAGGCCTGAGCAAATAGACAGCACTCCATGAGCAAGATTACAGCTGATCTCTACTCTGACGGAGCTCCCATAGCAAAGCCGGGGGGGGGAGATCTGGTCACATTCGGAAAATCAAATTCATGGCATTCTATCATCACCGATCGAACCATGGATTAACGCCTATCGCGATGATCGGGTATTCTTTAAGTCCGCCTGGATTCAGCTCCTATTAAGACTTAAATCTAACATAAATCTCATCGGAGATCTTACATAAGATAACCCGACACCTTTTTATATCATTCTATTGTCTCCGCGTCCTTTAGGTTGATGAATTATTTTCCACCTACCACCTCTTTCACACAGACGAGACTTACTGGGTCTATCGGTAGTCTATCGTTATTTCTATGGAAAGTGTTCAAAATACTTTCCTTAATTTCACTAATTCTAAACTACAAAGCTAAGAACCACCATTCCACGCCAATTGTAGCGAACCAGCCTCATCCCCTTCATATTCCATTAGAAGGAGATATACATTCCAGTCGAACTGCTTCTTTGCGGAACCGGCTCTCATGAAGATGCTTTCTCGGTGACTACAATTTTAACCCCCTCCAGACTTGGGTTAACCGATATCTTCCGCACATATTCTCATAAATTGTACCCCCATACCTCTTATTCTGTAACCCTCTACCTGTCGTGATTCAAAAATGTAACTTCCAGACATATAACATGTATATTCTGGACAGAAGCATAAAAGTACATACATTTTCATCTTCTTAAATTCCCAAGTGCCCAATATGGCAAAATCACATTTGTGATCTAAACATGTAAATTTAAACAAATCTAAATTTGATATTGCTCCAGAAACAGGATGCAATATTCTGCATTGATTAGTCTTTAGAAAATAAAAAAAGCCTCGTCTAAAATTTCCTCAAAATCAAAGACGGTGCGTATTAGGTGTCTTGATATCGAATGACACTTCTATGAATTTTATTTGAATAAAAGATTTTGTCAAATAATGCAGGGATCATTTTACTCGACTTAAAATTATGGACGTCATATTTTCGATGGAAAGT